CTCTTTCCCTTCAAAGTTAGTCGAACTTCCTTTTCAATCTTCGTTATCTCGGAATTAGATCGGAGCATATTTTCCGGTAGAATTACGGTAACATGGCTCGCGTGGATTTTATCACGTATCTGGAATACGGGTATTCCGTGAAAGCGTATATCTTTGTTTTCTCTCTCTCTCTCCGTTCGAAATCGTCTTTCGATCGAGATTTTTAGGAGAATATCGCGCGATTTGCGCAGCGATACGATTCCTCGATCAGATTCCTCTTCCAACGACTAAGGATAAAACGCGAAAGATTTGGGAACGTAAAACAGCCGCCCTCCATTCTCTTTCCTACGCTTTATCCGAATCGAATTCGGATAAAGCAGGAAGCGATTTTACGAAAAAATTTTTTTCACCGATTTTGCTAGTATGAATAGCTTCTCTAAAAAGCGAGACTCTATCCAAAGAATTTTTTTCAGATGTCACCTGGTTTTAGCACAGTTTCGCATATGTGATATTAGCTTTGAGAAAAAAAATGTTACAAATCAACTTCAAAGCGGGAATTGGCAAACGATAGAACGTGATTCGTGAATATGTCAGGAATTCTGCCGGCAATCCCGATGATTGTTCATACTAATTTCATTAGATAATTAACCGCAAGCGTTCAATTTGGTTTGACTAGATTTACCTCGTCCCGATGCACGTCGACAACGTAACGAACGTGACAAAAAGAACAGCCGTCGTACACGCAAATTAAGCAAATGCGCTTTAATCGAAGCTTCTGTAGTTGCAGTTTTTACGTAACAAGAGACGCTCCCAGACTTTACGAGATCGATTTTCGTCGTTAACGTTATTGCATTTTTTTTCCAGGGCGTCGCTTTAACAGCTCCGCAAAATACAATTTACTCGGAAATTCAATTCTATTACGTAGATTGTCGTGCACTATATTCTCTACACGTCTACCGTATAGATTTCTTGTTAATGAAATAATAAAAAGTATGAAAAAGTCAATAAAGAGAGCACACGCTATATTCCTATTCAATAGTGTAAGAGGGGAGACCGTTTCCCAATTATCTTTGCCGAGAAGGAAAGCGTGGAATATAATTGATCTATAAAAGCCTAAATTGTTAAATTGCTCCTTCTCTCTCTTTCTGCGTGGTCCCTTCTTTTGAAATAAAAGTTTTTAAACTTTCGTCAACTAGTTATTTTAACAAGAGAAAAATAATCTTTCTCTTTTTTTTTAAATTCAATCATTTTCTCTTCTTCATTAGCAGGCCACTAAGTTTTCGAACTCTCAACGTATCAACATTGAGAGCAGAAATTTCATTTTAGCAGAAAGGACGGCAATTGTTAATTACCGGTTAGCATTCCGTGGAAGCCAGACAATTACTTCGTGGAAAAGCGACCCTATATGGTGCATCGGTGCAACGAGCGATTCATCTTTTGGATACGTCAAGGACGGAAGGACACTCTTTTTATTTGATTCAATCGGAGAATATCGCGAGAGACACCAGCTGCGAATATTTTCGAAGGATCGTAGAACGAACTAAGCTGGTTTGATTTTCTGCAGCGCCAACACTATCCTTACGTGAGAATTTAGGAAAAAAAAAGGAAACTTCAGTATTTTACATACAATTTCGCAGATGTTCCATTCCTTTCTACTTTCTGCAATTTTTCGAACGTGTATTTCATCTAAATTAAATCCGTGAAAAAAATTGGGAAATATATAATTTATAAAAGTTAATAAAATTCTTTGAAAAAACTTAGAATTGAACACGAGGGAGCTAAATTAAAAATAATATTTTGAAATAAAGTACTTTGTACAAAGTTAGAAAAAAAATAACACTAAATTAGTAACTGGCTGTGTGAGATTCATAAGTACAGGTTGACGTTACCATAAATGTTATACCATTTTACTCGGAAATGAGAACGAACGAAAAAGGTGCATTGTGCACTTCCCGAGTATACCTGCCCTTTTACGATAAAACTTTAGAACATGCGATATGTGTCTACGTTGAATCGCAGGACTTACCTGTGAAATAACACATCTAGTAGACTGATGTATATAAAACTATACATTCAGGCAGGAAAGAATTATATTAAGTTATATAATCGTCTGTTTTAAAATAAAATTAAGAAAAATGCTAAAAATACGAAGAAAGAATTTTTAATTTTCTCGTTTTTATCTATTGTTTTTCTCGATTTGAGAATTTGAAAGCTTCGAATTTTTTTTAATTCTATCTCTTTTATGCAGGAGAAGATAATATGAGATTGCATTTGCACGTAGTTGTGCTGCTTATTGTTAGGTCAATCATCATAAAGTTTACGATATTGATCGAATACAACGACGGGGCAGAATATGATTATATCATTCATAATAAATTTTATATGCATCATAAATGATAATCTAAGCAGAAATTCCATAACGTATTCAAAATAAACTTATTTTTCAAATTTTTTTTCACGTCTTTACAAATTGCAATTTTATTAATTTCTACAATATAAAAATAAATAATAAAAATCTTTTAAGGAAATTTCTTTATCCTTATTTTGATAGACTTTACATAAATTAATTTGAATTGCGCTGAAAAAAAAAAGATAGCGAGAATTTTCTTTCATATTTATCAAACATTGATCTATTTGAAAGATTGGATTGAGAATCATTCTTTGGTTACTTTTATATAATTGTACAACTTCTCCTATCGCAATTATGCATCATGTTTGATATTTTTTTATTGAATATAAAAAATATATAAAGAGGCTAAAAGCTAGCTATTATCAGCTTACAATTCGAATGTTATATTGTATCTACAATATATACACACACGTAAAACTTATACATCGAAACTGACAGCTCTCAAATAGCAGATAATAAACTGCCGATCACACACACATGTTGTTTCAACTAATTAAACATAAAATAATAATGTAATTAACACGTATAGTCAAAATATTAATTCTGACGCTTATTAAATATAAACACAAGATTTAATTATGAATGAACAATAATGAAGTTCTGTAGAGGAGTGTCTATATGAGGTAAAGTAAAAAATGAAATAAACTTTTACCGATTATTAATATTATATATGTCTATTACCTTTATTATATTCTCGAGCTGATGTGATATATATTTTACTACGTCAGACTTTACGTCGAGAGTGTACCGACAGCGCCATGCGACATAAACTCTTTGAACTAATGACCAACATTCCGAGCATTTGCCGCTCGTTTCGTAAGATGGCGTTTCCTGGCTGTTATTCGGTGCACTTCTTTTAAAAGTGCGGTACAATTCACGCGTTATTTACGTCATGCGTCTGCATTCACGTTTCGGTTTTATTTTGCACAAAGAATCATAACCGCATCATACCGCATTTAAATTTGGTTATTTACAAGTAAGTAGTGTGTATTTTGACAAATCGTCAGTGTGAATATTGTTGACAATATGTATCGCGTCGAATTTATTACGCCATGGGTGCGGATGCGAGCGGAGGAGGTTAATATACGAAACGAGAGAAGACTTTTAAGTGTGGTAAGTACAATTCTCTAATTCCAATCATTACATTCTCAATATTTTCGTAGAAGATAATGCCCCACCATAAACGTAGAAGTATGATATTTACAATCTTACATATGTCGTAAAAAAAAGATATACATTTTTATAGGATTTGTTACTTTGCATTACGTTAAAAATAATAAAACATATTTGCATAAGATAGTATAAGTCTTATTACAATTTTGTTTAAAATAGTTATTAAAAGTCTACGAAGGCACAGTTTTAATTAAAAATGACAAGCGTATGTATATACCTGCGAGACGATAAATTTAAGGCGGAACCATGGACCGAGCGATATGCGACGACGTATTTCGGCAATCGCAAACGTGAGAGGAGAATCGCTGACGCGGGATCGGCGTACGATCGTTTGCACGACGTAACTCCCTTCGATCCGAGTAAACCGCGATGCGATCGCACCAAGCCAAGTCTCATTTGGGCGGAGATACACGAGGAGAACAAACGTCACGTCGTGCCGATGACTGCTAATCACTGGTACAGTCGACCGAATAGAGACCAAATCGATTATCCGGACATGAGATTTGCTCGATCGAGCAAAACCAGGGATTTCTATAGCCGAAATAGGATTCCCGATCTAACACCCAATAGAGCGGAACGAAACGCTTTCTAGCTTGGACATCTTTTACCGCCTTACAAAGTCTTTCCGAATCGAGATTTTCGTGTCCAAATTTTTATCTCGATATAAAATACAGTTAAGCAAAACAAAAAATCGATAATTAAAATTTGTATCCTATAAAAAAGCTTTATAAACGTTATATTTTATTTTTATTCTATTTAAATTGATAATGTTGATTTAATTTCGTGCAAAAACTATACGACTATTCTTTCTCGTTTTCGGTATTTTATCGCTTTTGTGAGAATTTTTTAAACGCGACACGCGCTATTGTTAGCACTTTTACTAGCGCTTCAGACTAGAAATAGAACGTTTCGACACGATAAATGAGCATTTGACAGGGTACGCCAACGCGATTACTAATTAATATTAACGTGTCATGTTGTATTTTCAAACATGGGTAAGCATGTAACAATATTGACAATATATAGGATTTGTTCAGAAGCAGAACAGGTAAAGTATGATATCCCGTAAACTACGCTCCCCTGGATTTATAGTCTCGCATGGTGTGCTTTTGATTAATGAATTATTTTTGTCGCGCTACAAAATGTACACACACAATATTTTTCTACCACAACAAGAGAAGGGGGTGTTGTGCAAGTTTTATATTATCCAATGTGCAAATAGATTTATTGATTTTTAGAAAATGCATATTAAAATTTTAAAAATTTTCTTTGTAAGCTTATGTACGTTTTTTTTCGTCATTATTCATCTTCTCTTTAATTGCCGCGAAATTTTTTATCGCTGTATTTTATCTCACATGTAGTAATTTGATACTGCAATAAGACAACTTTATTAAACATCGCGCATATCTCGCTCCGTATACAATAAAGGTCGCTTATAAGAGAAATATTCTTCTCGAATAAGTGTTCCCCCTTGTATCCCTCTCCACTCGAGCGAGCGCAAAACCTCGAGGCTTGTTTTATCTACCGATTCACTTACATATGCAACCGAGACTTTGGAACTTTATGATATTATATCATTTCACTCGCTCTCTATTCGCTCTCGTTGTTCTCGATGAGTCGCCAGAAAATTTAAAAGAACAGTTCAATAATACTATAATTAGGATCCAGCGAGATTTTATACGCGACTCTTGTCCCCAATTTGTTCTGTTATGAACGATCTTTACTATATCGAAGAGGCTCTCTTTTTTATAAAGCAAAATACTTTTAGCCTTCGCGATGCGATATTCTGGTCTTCCTCGAACTTTTGCTTTCTATATTATTGCTATTTGAGCGTATAGTTTGCTATCAGGATTTATTTCTCTCGCGGATAGACCAGTGAAAGAATCTTATGTACATAAAGATGAAGTGTGGATAGTACCGTATAAACTCTCCGTATATTACTCTCAAGACTTATATATCGATCGGCTAGTTTAAATTCGATATTCTTAGCTACCTTATTCACGGACAATCACCTTTTATCATACATTCTTAATAATCGTACAAGCGAAAAAAGATCTTCGAATTTACGGACATTTCGATTATTACAGTCGATATTGATAAATAATCGAAAACGCTTTTGACAAAATGCGTAACAATTTTCGCGTCTTGAATTATTTTTTATAGCATTGGCATTTTTTAACGATTCGAATTTCCTCGTATTCGATCAAAACAGTTCTGTTTCATATTTTTCAAAGCAATTCGCGGACATGTCTCGCATCCCTCGGTGTTTCTATTTTCTCTGCCATCTTCTACGCCGCTTCACGGAAGCAAGGTTGATACCGGGATTGCTTTACTTCCGAATACTCAAAAGGAAATGCCACGGAAAAAGAGAGAGAGGGAGGAAGAGTGCGCGTATGCACACAGACACGTATGAATTTCCGCCTTCAGCTCGCAACTCGGCATCGAGTTTCACGCGAGATCCTTGAAACTCAAGACTCGGAAAGTGCCGACTTTAGTCGGTGACGTTTGTGTCAGAAGGAATTTTTTCTTCATTTTTTTTTCTCTTTTTTTACCGCCGATATTTATATACACGTCGCGGGAATAACGCCCGGGGATTTATGACGCGCCCCACGATGTTAGAAACAATCGTTGTCCTACCCTTTCGACATTCAAACGCCAAAGGCATTACGTCTCCGAAGACGTAACCATCTAGCATCGCGTTTCATTGCGGCGGTAGGTCGACCGTTCGAAATGTTGTTGCATATTTTAAGGCAGGCGTTTCTTCGACAGAACTGAGCTACGTTGCTCACGTATAAAAACAGACGTGGCACGAAGGACGCGCAATCGAATAAATAATAGACGGTTGCATTATTAGACCCCGATAGTGAAGGATGAGACTTTATCCAGGCGGAGATACTATAATCGGAGGCGCGACACGAGTTATAAATTTATAATTGAATACGAATGTGCAGAGAACCCCGTCGCGTCTCGAGGTAGATTTTTCTCACGAAAGTATGCATATCGTTACGCAATGCAATCGGGGAAAAATCACGATGTGACTTATGTACTTTGCATTTAGTATTAAAAACGGAGATGATAGCGGCACGTCACGTCACGGCTCTTCGCGAATTGCTAATCGCTATTGAGGACTGTACGCAAATTTATGTGCATTTAATAGGCGGTCGACATGACTATCTCCCGCCGACGGTAGTTAAATCATTAGAGATACGAGAAACGCGACATCTGTTCGCAAATCGTTGTTTATTTCCGACTCGTTAATTAAAAGTCTAATTAGTACTGCGTCAATTAATGAGAATTTCACTTTTACCGGGCTCCACGTGGCCGCTTCTCGTTCGCGCAGAAAAAGGAAGAGATCGACGACGTTCTCGTCGGTTCTGGCACTGCGTGATGACTAGCAATTACGAACTCCTCGCAATATTTCCTTTCGTCGTTAATTATTTATACAATGCATAAATTTTCTCGCTCTTACAGTAAATTTTATTTTTTTAGCAACAACAAAAATGTTGCAAAATCTAAAGCTTTAAAAGATTATGATATCTTTAGATTTTTTTAAATACGTAGTTGCAACAATTTTTGATCCCTGCTTGTAGTCGCGAAAAAATCGAATCATAATTTATGTTTGCTAATTAAATATGTATCTGAAATTATATACCAGATTAATTTTTTTGGCTTTACACAGCTGAGGAAAATGCTTTATAATAGATGAACATTGTGGCTGAAACCTTATTAGGAGTAATTTAAAATTGGTTACTACGTCGTATACATTGATATTAGCGAGCTCGTCTCCGTTCCCGGCTTCGGGACGCAGTTAATCGAATTACCTTTGGTACCGTAAAGTAACGTAGCCGAAAGGGCTATATAGAGTGTGACCCCATTAATAGTTGCTCCCGAGAAGTTAGATGCGTTTGCGCAGTGAGGGCGAATAAATTTTGGCGGTTACTAGGGGGATCGCGAAGTTTCTCCCTCGAATTGTTTTATAGCACCCGATGGACTTTAACGGTTTCTCTGCCTAGGATTATGCTTATTATTATATCATTTCGTTCACGTCTCCCGACGCAATCACGCAAATAGTATTTGTCAGCGATCGCGGCGATGAAAATGAACGTATGCGCGCGCGATCTTATTAAGCGGCATACTTTAGTTACGTAACACACTCGAGTAATTAACGTCAACGATCTATTTCCTTTAAATCCTATATTTAGTTGGCGCGTCATTGACGTTAATTAATGGTCGCGTGCGGGTTTCGAGCGGATTAATTGTTAACAATATACGAGTGCGAATCCAAAGTTCCGTTTCCCGATGTTTCATCGAACTACAACTATAATTTGTTATCCGGTGCGAGCGCGATCGACAGTGTTTCCCGATGATTCTAGATTCGCATTCTATTTCCGTAAAATCCGCAAACCGATAATTGCCGCAACAACTGTTCGTCTCGCGCCGGCGCGAGATATATACTACAAGATAAATACTGCAAGCCGCAAGTATTCCCAGCTTCATCCCGCAACATTTTTCTCGAGCCGACCGCGCACGGTGCGGCGGGCTGTGCCAGTAAATTTCCGGTTACGCAGACACGATATCGCGATACATGACTCTTTCTTTTTTCTCCTTCCTTCTTTATTTTCTTTTTGCTCTGAAAAAACGGTGTATATATATCACGAAATACGTTTCCTCATCACATTGCTAAAGTATATCAGATAGATTTACGGTGGGGCTGTAATTTACGTCAATCCGCTTCGAGATATTTACCGTTGTGTCACTTCGCGTCGATTTGCAATCTGCGTGCTCATCGTATCGAAGATAGTAAGCTAAATATTTGCGCAAATAAAACTCGCGCCTAATTTGTCGAAACAATCGTATTTTTTACTGCTATCACGTGCGCGCGGCGCCTATAAATGTAACGTAAGTGTCGTCGTCGCGATCTAATGCAGTGCGATATGGCGGCGATAAACATCGACAAGACGTGCTCCGCGTTGCCGATTTCGCAGCAGGATCATCGGGAGACGTCTCTCCTGACTGATCGCGACGTTAACAAAATATTAGAGCGTAAACTCGGCGGCGGTAACTTCCGACTCGTTGGCTGGAAATTGGAGCGCCTCGACGACGCGAAAGGCTTCCTCGGCCAATATTATCGTTTGCATATTACGACAAGATGCGGCACGGACGGAGACGGGACGCAGAGTTTGCAGTTCTTCGCAAAAACACCACCGCCGTCCGATAGTCCGCAGTTCGAGTTCCTGAAACGTTATGATTCGTTCAACAAAGAGATCGCCGTTTATACGGATCTAATGCAACGGATGGGTGCGGGCGGATCCCAGAGATGGATGGTGGAGTGTTATCTTTGCAAACAGAATGTTATCATGGTTTTGGAAGACGCGTCGTTAAACGGCTACGCCACGCCGGACAAATACGTGCCGTTCGATGAGGAGCACTGCGTCTGGTTACTGAGAACTCTTTCCAAGTTCCACTCGAGGTCCCTGATACTGGACGAAAGACTCCGCCGAGAAGAGGACGGCCGGACCATCCTCCATTTCTACGGACACCTGCTGAATGAGGTTCTCTTCGTCGATGGGGACGACAGATCGGAAAAGATCCTTGCCGCCAGTATTACGGGCCTTTATACGATTCTCGATCTCGTCGAGGATCTCGACAATGACACTAGGAACGACATTAAACGCCGTATCACCACGTGGTCGCGAAAGATTTCGCGATTATTGGCACCGTCCGAGAGACACAGAAACGTCATCTGTCATCGCGATATTTGGGCGAATAATATGATGTTTCGACACGATCCGGCCGGCAATACGAAAGGCTGTTACCTTATAGACTGGCAGTTTCTCCGTTATTGTCCACCGGCGATCGATTTTGCGTGCTGCTTATATCTCAACACTAATCGTGCCATCAGAGATCGTTATTTCCATACTTTTGCCAAAATCTATCACGATTCGCTTGCACGGCATCTGGCGCAAGAAGGCCTTGACATTAACAATCATCTACCCTGGACGGCGTTCCGCGAGAGTTACGCGGAGGCGCGAAACGTAGCCCTCATTTACGCCGCGCTCAATTTGCAAATAATGCTGCTGTCTGAATCAATAACCATGCAATATTTTCGCGAGGTCGACCAACTCGAGGATATCCTGTACGGTGACGGGCGAGCGAAAATCGTGCGACATCAGTGCGAAATAATGCCCGCGTATAAGACTCGTATCCTGGAGATTGTATTCGAAATTAAGGATCGCTTGCCCGAGCTTCCGCCGAATCCTTAACTCTGCGCGGACGGTGAAAAACGACGTGTTCGCACGCGCGTGTCGTTGCTTTACCTGCTTTACGATCTGTGATAACAGACTGGAATCGCGCCAGGTAACATCATCAGAAGCTTATTTACGATTCTCGATTGCTCGTACGTTTCGAGAATTGTGTCGTTCGATCATTCGCAGAGAATTTTGTTCGCGTTCGATTAGAACGGAGAATGATAATGCGCAACGTCTATGTTTGCTATTGTTTAATATATTTCTTTTATTGATATTGGATAAATGAATTATCGCTAATTTCTTCTCTCACACACAACATAGAACATTTACATCACTCGGTAATAACTTTGATTGAAATGAATTTTTCTATGTGAAAAATGTCTCCGGATAAGTAATTTACGTCAAGAACGGAAAAGATTTGAAAAGTCTCAAGATAGTTTGGTATTAAGACGTGTATTGGATAGGTAAAGAAATATTGGAATCTCTGCTTTTCAGTTATAATTGATGATGGAGAAACGTTTCCGATGCAAATAGACATATAAGAGCGTTTCCACAGAAATATCATTTCGCTCATTTTTCAAACGTCATCATTACATCTCGTTTCCTCTTCGTGAGAGTTTTTCCTCAACGGTGCATATTCATTAGCACGCTAGCAAAACAGCAAGGTACTATGTCAGGTTTTTGTTCAAATGTATTTTTGTCATTTTTATCTTTATAACAATTGATACAATTTGCATATTCAGTATCAAGGAAAATAATTGTTTTATCTTCATCCCCGTCATTCAGTCGTCGCCTCAATCTTTGTTAAAGGCGCGGTCGTCAGGAAAGCTAATTCTACGGTTAAAACCATTGTGTGGCGTAGCGCTTTGCAAACTTAAACGAGACCATCATTCCGTGTTACGTCAGACGAACTTTGTCATGAAAAGAAAAAGGAATTACTCTGCGTAATAAACTTTAGAACAGTCAGCCGGGAAAGAAAGCGCGAAGAGAAGAAAGTCTCTGGCTCTTGAAATAAGTCTTGTCATATTCGCGCATAATGCATTTTTTTTATTTGCATGCAATAGAAAATATTTTTTTAATTGGCTTCCCAATTTAATCATACATATTATGTGACAAATATATACATATATACGCACAATTATAGTTAACAAATTTTATTTCTGCAAATACTTTGCTTTTGTATATATTATATATAAATAAAAACATATATTTTTTGATAATGTATAATTTATGATAAAATTCAAAATAGAATTATATTTATAATTCTATGCATCATGTTTTATGTATAAAATACATAAGGAATTGAAATACACGTATACGAAATACATAAGGAATTGAAATACACGTATACGAAATACATGTCCAAAAAAAATACGCAAGACGTAAAATTAAAAATAAATTTTTGTTTTGAATTCGATCACAAATTATAGATATTGTGAAAAATAAATTTTATTTTTAATAAACGTTTATAAAGGATTGTGCTAAAAATATATTTTTTTACGGTACGTGGCAGTGAATCGAACGAATTCAATTATTTTGTACACGTAGCGACATTATTTAGTAGCATTCGGAGTCGTCGTTCGCCGGCGCGACCAATGTACCCACGAGGTTTTTTGGCGATAAAATGATGAAGAACGGCCAAGTTTAATGGGCTGCGACGTTATATCGAATTAAAGCGGAAGTTCCTTTTATTGCTAGTTATGCGAGACGTTCGTATAATCATGCCGCGATGTGTATTGATGATATATACTCGACGTAAAATTTTGACGGCCAGATGATATTTAAAGATTACAAATAATTATTACGTTTATTATAATTTAATTGTGACTATAGTCCTGATAACGATTGTTGAAGACGCGGATCTCAGACTTGATCTATCCCACTTGATTTTCACTCGACGGCGCGAAACCGCTTTATCTAGAATAATGTTATGATTCCATTATACGTAGCAAGGCGCATCTACCTTTATCGTCGTGGTAAAGAACTCGATAATCTTCCGTAATAGAAATCGCGGGAGTGTATTAACTATCATATACATATGAATATTATTATCGATCCTTCGTTCTATACTGCTGCTTTGCACTATCGATCCGAATACAAATAAATTTTCAGTTACCAATGTATATAGCTAGAATATTTTTGTCCGGTGACTGTGTATGCTCCGAAAATGTTTGTTCCGAGAAACGAGCCGAGTAAACACTTTCGATGGGCGACGAGAATAATTCGTTGCGTCTTTTCGAATGAAGGGATGAAGAGCGTATAAGGAGAACTTTCGACGGTGCATTCGTCTTTCGGAATAGCAGCGTGTCGCGGGCACACGCTGTTTATGCGAAATCCTGTGGCTCGTGGCGGCGAGAGTCGAGAGCGCAGGCGTCCGGAGTCCTGTGGCGGCAAGCGCGGACTCGGATTTTCTCTAGTGTCGCGTCAACTGCCGCTGGAGAGTCGTGCGCATCGCACCCTCTCTGTGCCAAGCCTGTACAACCCCCTTTCTTGCGTGGCTTCACCACGTTTCGTCTCGTCGCTCGACCTTAAGATCGGAATTAAAAAGTACTTCCGGAGCGCGGCCAATCTCGCGCGAGACTTAAACGCTCCCTCGAGACGTTGTTTATACTTCTTAGTGCAACGGGGTTCTTTTCTCGGGGGGAAAAAAAAGCCTTTTCGCGCGTCGATATGAAATACACGTACGCGTCGCGAAAGTCGTAATCAATTTGACGTTATAAACGATCAACGATGGTGAACGCTTCTTGATTGGAATTCCCCGATCGAAAACTGGGATAATCGATTTCCGGGAGATCGCGAATGAGAGTGCACAAGCGTAACGCGCGAGTTTCGTAGGAACGCAATCGTTCAATGTGACTGGCGGGCGCGAATTCAGTCGAAATAGCGTTCATCCCCGAGCGCGTCCCATTTCCGGTCGTCCGCGCGGAAGCGTGACGTATTCCCAAAGAGGAACAGTGCATCCATCGATCATGAATCGACGCGACGTGCAAGCGCACGCTGATTCGGCCGACAACGAGTCGTCCGCATGTCAAGGAATGTTCGCGTCGGACGCCAAAGCATGAGGGACGCCAAAGCATTGACGTAATGGTGAGCACGATGCTATTATTTCCTGTATCCGAGTTAGCGCGTGTTATGCGTGCAATTCGTGAAAACAAAGGGGCAGCCGCAAGGATAAACGTAATCGAAACCCGCTTGTAACAGAGGGTATATCCTGCGCTTTGAAACAATTGTACGGGATAATTTAGATGCTTTGCGAATAATGTTGCTGTTGCGAAATGAATAATGTTCTCAAGCGTAAGAATACCGGCTGGCGTACATAACGGATTGATCACGCACGAGTGAAAAATCGTAAGCCGCGCAAAGTGCGAACTCGCGTTATAAGGAGAACTTTCGACGGTGCATTCGTCTTTCGGAATAGCAGCGTGTCGCGGGCACACGCTGTTTATGCGAAATCCTGTGGCTCGTGGCGGCGAGAGTCGAGAGCGCAGGCGTCCGGAGTCCTGTGGCGGCAAGCGCGGACTCGGATTTTCTCTAGTGTCGCGTCAACTGCCGCTGGAGAGTCGTGCGCATCGCACCCTCTCTGTGCCAAGCCTGTACAACCCCCTTTCTTGCGTGGCTTCACCACGTTTCGTCTCGTCGCTCGACCTTAAGATCGGAATTAAAAAGTACTTCCGGAGCGCGGCCAATCTCGCGCGAGACTTAAACGCTCCCTCGAGACGTTGTTTATACTTCTTAGTGCAACGGGGTTCTTTTCTCGGGGGGAAAAAAAAGCCTTTTCGCGCGTCGATATGAAATACACGTACGCGTCGCGAAAGTCGTAATCAATTTGACGTTATAAACGATCAACGATGGTGAACGCTTCTTGATTGGAATTCCCCGATCGAAAACTGGGATAATCGATTTCCGGGAGATCGCGAATGAGAGTGCACAAGCGTAACGCGCGAGTTTCGTAGGAACGCAATCGTTCAATGTGACTGGCGGGCGCGAATTCAGTCGAAATAGCGTTCATCCCCGAGCGCGTCCCATTTCCGGTCGTCCGCGCGGAAGCGTGACGTATTCCCAAAGAGGAACAGTGCATCCATCGATCATGAATCGACGCGACGTGCAAGCGCACGCTGATTCGGCCGACAACGAGTCGTCCGCATGTCAAGGAATGTTCGCGTCGGACGCCAAAGCATGAGGGACGCCAAAGCATTGACGTAATGGTGAGCACGATGCTATTATTTCCTGTATCCGAGTTAGCGCGTGTTATGCGTGCAATTCGTGAAAACAAAGGGGCAGCCGCAAGGATAAACGTAATCGAAACCCGCTTGTAACAGAGGGTATATCCTGCGCTTTGAAACAATTGTACGGGATAATTTAGATGCTTTACGAATAATGTTGCTGTTGCGAAATGAATGATGTTCTCAAGCGTAAGAATACCGGCTGGCGGCCGGCTGTACATAACGGATTGATCACGCACGAGTGAAAAATCGTAAGCCGCGCAAAGTGCGAACTCGCGTGATAAAACCGAGGATAGATCGAGAGAGGAAGGCGCTGATGTACGCGATTTACGTAATATTGGAATTGTTATCGCGCGCGACAAGGTTCGCGTCGAAGGAGTTGACCTTTCACAGTTGTGGAGTGAAGCGCGGAAGGATGGAAAATGGCGTGACAGAGTTTCGGAGCCATCAGCCATTAATGGCACGTGTCGAGGTGCGCAATCTACATACCTAAGTATGTACATAAGCAACACAATGGTGTTCTAGCGATTTCTGATTCTATGTTATTCCGTTCCAACTCCACACAGACACTGTTACACAGTAACCGATGGTCGCTGACAGATCAAACTAATTATTCGATCGATTATACGTATGTAAATGGAATAATGGATAATCATTCTTATGTTCTTTGATATAAACTATTTTATCGCGCTTATAGTAATAGTATCATTATAAATGTATATAATAATTTAATTATAGGATTAGAATTAGCTTTTACGATTGGATTATAAATCAAACAATTTATAATTTATAAATGAGATACGTTCACACTATTTGTGTTAACGATTGTATTAGCTTATACTGTTACTCCCCAATATTTGTTCAACCTATTTGCAAAAGTTCTAAATTTAATTTAGCAAATAATTTTGCCTTGCAAGAAAATTTATAATTAACGATTTCTTAGAGTAAAACTTTGATATTTCTACTTTTGACGTTATATTCTTCAAGTTACTTGAGTTTTGTTATTTCTGGACGGTTTAATGAAATGTCACTCCCTATAGTTTATTGCAATACGCGGCGTCGAATCGGCAAGTTTTAAGCTTTCAAAAGCAAGAGATTCGGTCGTCGAGCAAACAGAGGATATCTCTCGCCGGCAATGATTTATTCGACGTTCATAGAATGACAGCGGGTGACATTCGTGCAGCATCCGACATGCGTGCAACGTATGCGTGTTCAAGCACGTGACAGGGATCATCATAAGCCATGACACACGTTGTACAGCTGCCTTTTCAAATACAGTGTACATATGAAGTATGAGGTTTATAATCTGCCGATACATATCTTTCTTTTAAATACTCTCGCGCGCTTCTATTATTCAAATAATTTTTTTTCTTCAAAAGTTTTACAAATTATTTAATTCAACTAATCTCATAATCTGCTCATTTCTCCATGATCGCAGATTTATAAATAGAAAATTTAAAATATTTCATTATTATATACCCACATACACACAAGATGTTGTTTAGAGAGATTAATTTTAAAAAAATGTCCGGATATAGACACAATTCTTGATCCGAAAAGAGAGAGAAAGTTGGTATGACAGATGCATTTCGTTTATGACTGAGCATATTATTAAACGTGTAGAAATTGCTTAATAATCCTAACCGCTTGTCAGGCAAAGCTGTGTCAATTTATCCCAATGTCTCGTATCCACGAGGAGGTTACGTGACATATTAGACTTTATACACATATAGTACTGCATATGCATGCCAGCGGTTCGAGATAAACCGCTACGAGCTAATGGCATTAAAATGTCTCACGACTAATCTCATTTAGATATATGTATGTATGTGTATATGTATGTGTGTGGCATAGCCGCATTTCAATCCGAATGCATACGTATATGTACAAACTCCGACCTTGCAAAGTGGGAGAGCAAAAGCATGACAGGCATGAGTAAGACACACTCGCAACGTCACTTTTACAAACCGCGAGATTTTATTTACACTTTCGTGAGCGCGCGCTTCCGTAGTCTCGTACGGAGATTGCATTATCAGTCACGCTGACGCATGTAAACCGATTTCGTTGGCGTTCATGTACCGAACGTTGCACGTGCATTTACGACCGTCGCAGGCGCCGCGGGCGTCGGAGCTCGCGGATATACTGTTTCCCGGAGATATGAGCTTGATTCGTATGAGGCAGAACGAAGTCGTAAACCTTCTCCGTCTTGCCAATTCGAGTGATCGATAAACAAGCAAGCGTAACACGGAATAGCAGCTAGGAAACGTCACGGCTAGAGATCAAATAAATTATAGCCGAGAGAGTTGGCTTCTTCGTATCTATAAAAATCTATTCTCGTATTTGCCGAAACGTCTTGTCAAATTATACAGTTTACAACGAAAAATAATTTATTTTTAAACTCAAGAAAAAAGGTAGTGACAAAAGAGAAGAATAATAGAATTCTTATAATGTTTTTGATGTTAAATGCAATTTTGGATTTTAAAATTCTCTATTGTGTGCGTGTCACAGTTTTAATAAATTTAATTTAAAGTTGTAGAAGAAGACTAGAAAGGAATTTGTAATACAAATTAAAATCACAATAAAACTTTTAATAAGATATTAAGTCAACCACAGAGGAAAGTTATAAATTACATCATTAAATATTACGAACAATCTACTAAATATTTTTCATTTATTTTGTTTACGCTTTACAAATTGTTCAAAAGCTGACAATTTTTATATCAAAATAAATTCTAAATATTGAGATTAATATGACAGAGAGATGTTCAATTATTTAAATATTTTTTAATTTTTGCAAAAATTTGTATGTATGGATTTTTCAAGTTAGATACATATAAATCCAATGTTAAAATTAACGGAGCCAATATATGGCGTTTATACAGTAAATTATTAATTATAACGTATTTATGATAATAAGCCCAACACATTTTCGATTATAAAAATCTTATTAACTTAAATCTTTTTTTAAGGGGGAGTCAAAATAATATGCTTAATTTTGAACAAAATGAAATATTTTAGCACGTTACCGTAGCTATAATGTAAAGAATATTAAAATAGTTTTTCTTTACCATTTTAATTTTAATGCAACAGAGCATTTTTGGAAGCCAAAATTATATTATACCAAAAATTGCATAAAATAATTATAATCCTTTAAAATTTTTTTTTTTTTTTTTTTTTGTTGAACTGTGTTACAAGAATTAAATTTTGTTGGCATTGTAGCGAAACAATAACTTGAAAGCTGGATCTATATGTAAGATGGATCGCTTTGGTAACGAGTTGCTTTGGGATCACTATCTAGACGATTGATCCCTTGAGAGAGGTTCCGAGATGACACGTATATCTCGCGCAATGCGACGTTATGCAATTAGTTATACACAGTTGTACACGCGGCCATATCGGTAAACTCTCGAAATCCAGCGTCGGCTGGTTCATATGTTAGCGCGATTCAGTTTGAAGCCGTAAATTAACCGTAGCCAGCAATCCGCTATGACAAAATCTCGGTGAAATATCCGCCAGAGTACCAATCGACGATTTGAATAGAATTTTTTGTTTTTTTTTTCTTTTTATTTTTATTCACACCGAGAGATATTTTATGAGTCATATATTTTAAATTTGTTTTCGCACGCGGACTCTCGGTAAAACTATCGCGAGGTGTCGTTCCCAAGTTGTGTATAACGCGGAGAGATTATCAAATTCCACCGATATCGATTTAACGAAAGATATCAGCATCGCGACGAAGTTATGAGTGCAAATTATTTTCCTTGGCAAGTATGAATTTTCAAGTTATGCGATTTGTCGCTTAGAATGATAAAGTTTGCGATATTTTCCGCTGGGCGATCGAGAATAGCGTTTGAAATATTTTGCTATTAAAACTCTCCTTCTAGGCATTACAGCGAATCGTACATACATTTGAATCGTAAAATAAAACTTGACGTTTCCTTCGATCAATGCGAAATCCGGATTGTATCCGGTGAAATGAAGCATGTCTATTTAATAAGTAAAAGGAAATTAAAATCTCCTTCTTTGACCTACTCTATAATCTTTTGAACGTAGCTGGATGAGGTCAATAAAGATTCCGTGATTTCCGACAGTAACTCAGACGTTAAAATGTCGGGTAACGCCCGTTCGATAGTGCAGTATGAAAGATGTGAAAAGGTCCATTTGCACGAACTATATGAAAATGAATAGCTTGCGAAAGTAATCGCCGTTTATATCGACGCGAAGGATATATATATACTGGAAATACGCGCTAGAACAGCAGACGCGTCTACCATCCCCGGTGCATGTAATATTTACCGCGGTGCAACGGCTAGAATACAGTGCGCGACAGCCAAAGGATCGATATCTAACATCCCTACGGCTTAGATTTTATATTCTAAATGCGAGACGCGCGCGAACGAGCGAAACTCGCGCTGCCCGAGGCAAAGCCGAGGAATAAAGTCTGAAAGAAAAATAACCGAGAGTATAAAACGAAATTGCCGTCGTATAGTCGCGCGAAACTTCTTACACGACGTGAAAAAAATTTTTGGCCCCTGCAGGCGGCACACGATAAATTAAAACTGTACGAGAGTTGACGGAACGGCCAACAGGCATGCACGCATGTTAGGTACAGGACGCCGGATTTTTTCGTATTTGCGAATTATCGTGCAAGAAAGACGCATGTGTTGTTTCGAATTGTGCGTTACGGGCCGCGATAAGCTTAACAGATGGTGCATGAGCGTGCGTGCCCGTTGTTAACTCCACATATCACGTCGTTCCGGCTTAATCGGTAAGCTCGTTCGTCATTGCGGTTACTTGCGATTTTTAACTCGATAGCGATTAAAGCTCGACGTTATATGCGACGAGTATGTTTGATATTCGCATAAAATTGCGAGAGCCGCGAGGAAAATTCGCGAGGCCGTGTCCGCTTAATGGCGGTCCGTGATATTACTGCGTCAAGTCCATTGATACTGGTGAAATAATTGACGGAAGCGAAATGTCGT